AGGAGACTAGTTAATTGAGTTGTTATGCACTGCTATTATTATGCACCAGTTGGAGCTTTATATGTGTAAACTTGTAAAAGCAAGTCTGAGTAACTTCGTTCTGAGGCATTAATAAAAATAGAAAATGAGTTAAAAGCACTGTGTGCTGTTTCTTAGCTTAGAAAGTCAACTCTAAAAAGAGCAATAATTATGATGAGAGCTTGGCAAGATTTATGATGTTTTTAACTTTGCTGTAGATGTTTGATGTACATGTTACTATTGCTTTTCACTGCATGATTAACATAAAAGACCAGAAGAAGGAGGAGGAGGAGGAGCGGGAGGAGGGGGAAGGTGGAGGAGGAAGTGAAAGGGAAAATGAGGGGAGAAGGGGGAAGAGAGAAGAGGGGAAAAGGGAGAAAGAGAAGAGAACTAAATTGTCAAGGTAATGAGAAGCAGTAACCCATGAGAAACCTAACTTTAATTCTTAACACCAGTGTATCAGTAGCTTTTTGTTTGTTCTCTCATCTAGTTCTCAGGAATTGAAGTTTAGAAAGATTTAACAACTTGCTCAAAATAATGGCATTAAGGAGGGGCTGAGCTGGAATTTAGTCCTGTATTTTTCTAGGTACTAGCCTGAGTTGTTCCCATTATACCACAATGCCTGGGTGGAAGTAAGTTCTTTCTAAAATCAGTCCTATGGAGGACAGTCTCTAAGAATGAGGCTGGGAGGTGAGAAGGCTGCATAAAGTTCCATGAAGTGAGCAAGAAGAAATGAGAAGCCCAGGAATCTAAATTGGGTAAGAAAGTTGACCTTAGGATTTGTCAGCAGAAAGGTTTGAGATGGTTTTATTAATTATAGTAAGGACAACTGAGATAAAACATAAAATGTTTTATAAATTAAAACCACAATATATCCCTGGATGGTGTGACTTAGTTGGTTGGAGAGTCGTCCCATTAAACCAAAGAGTTGTGGGTTCGATTCCTGGTCAGGGCACATGCTTAGATTGCAGGTTCAGTCCACAGTAGAGGAGCATACGAGAGGCAACTGGTTGATGTTTCTCTCTTACATTGATCTTTCTCTCCCTCTCTTCCCCTCTCCCCAAATTCAATGAGCATGTCCATGGGTGAGTATTAAAAAAAATACCACTGGAAGAAGCAATTATACTTTGTGATACAATCTTCCTCCATAAAAAATAAGTATTTAAAATGTTTATTTCTTGATTCAGTAAATTGATTATCAGTGAGAGGATGAAAAGTTAATAATTTATGAGTCAGTGCATTAAAGCAGCATTTCACTGGGAAAGAAGACAAGAAATTAACTTAGATATCATGATTTTTTACGTAGAACTAGAAGGTCATAGTAGGATTACTGCATATAAAATTAAAGCTAGTCACTTCCTCATTGATAGAAGTGTTCGAAATCTCTTTTAACTTATTTTTTAATATGAGCTTTGTCATGTGTTTCCTGGTCTTTTAGTAATGGCTTGGGTAATTTTATACGTGGACTTGATTGCATGCAGAAAACTGGCTCCTTTCGTGTTTTTAGCCCATCTACGTATTTTTTCCCCTAAAGCATTTCACATCAAGAGTTTGACTTCTCAGGTCCTACCTGAGCAGGTTACTCCAGCATCCTGTTGGTGAGTGCAGTTATGTTTTCCCCATCCGTCATGTTTGCAGTCCCAGAGAGCTGATTCGTTCCCTCGACAGAGAACATGATCCATCCAAATGCGCCCAGAGCCTGCACTGGAATTAGTCCATCCAGTAGCTTTGATAGCAGTTGGACATCCTAGCTGCCTACAAATCACAGAGACTTCATCCATGTCCCAGCCATTATTACACACAGTTCCCCATTCTTCTTGGACTTTCATCTCCACTCTCCCAGTGCATTTGTTTTCACCATCCATTAATCTCAGCTCCTTGTCAGTTCCCCCTGCAACAGTGGGTAAAGGCAGTGATTGGTCAAGATCCAAAGAGAAAGTAGAGAATTATTATTCTTTAGATTACCTATTTATTTTCCAAATCCAGGTTTGAGAAACATTCCTGGACCCATCCATGGTGCAATAAGAGAATACTATTTCATAGGAATTCAAATACAAATATTGGTATCACAAGCTTCAAATTGAACAATGGCATAAACCAGTAAAGTAGCACAATTCTATACTATATCCTTATGGCTGATATTCTTTATGTCAATTTATATAATCTACATGGAGAGCTTACTATTTCAGTAAGATAGTATAAAATTTTAAAGGGATGAGCTATGTAAGTTTCCACAAAACTCCAAGATCAGTAGAAAGAAGGCTGATGGTGAGGATGCAAAGACCAATTGCAAGGAATTTTACACTTATTTCATGTTTGAAAGACACTGTGTTTAAAAAAAAAACAACTAGTTGAAATCTGACAGAAATGTATCTACTTAAATGGAAGTTGAGATAAAGATACCTTCTTATTATCTTCTACCACAAAAAAATCCCCTCTTCCTTATACTCCTTCCAAATGTCTCAGCTACCACCTCATAATTGTTTTAAATAACAGAGAAACTGTGGTATATGCATCTTGACTCCATCAGTACAATTTTAGATAAGCTTTGGTACTTGAACTTATTAAAGTGTTCCTAAAATTTTCTCTTGTCCCAAATAATTTTGAGGTTTCTCTTCCTTCCTATTGTTCCCTATTTTTAGTTAAACATTATTTCAAACTTTTAGGTGTAATGCTTTTATTCCCTGTATGAATTTATTTTATTTGGGGGGGAACTGTGCTATTATTTCTTGCACTTTTGTGTGTTTGTCATGTTAGGTTCTTATTTTGTGCATTTAATATCTGACCCTGTAAGACCATGAAGTATACTTTTAGACGCTGTCAGCCTTCAGGAGAATTATATGCTTTTCAGTGATTCTTGCCAGAGTGGTCTAAGGCTTCAAGTATATTCGGCAAAGTACTCACCAAGAGAACCAGTGACCAGAGAGGCACTAAGAACTGAGATCACAGCAATAATGAAGGGACTCAAGTGGACAAAACATCTTCTAAAATCTGAGAAAAAAAGAAAGAGGGCAAAAGTATAGTCTTCCCAAAGAGACTTTGGTAAAGGTAGATGGTTTCAGATATTTAAGAAGATCACACCAAAGACAGAAAATCCTTTCTTTTAAATAGCAAAGCAAACAGAAAAAATTCATACCCAAGATCATACAGTCTCAGTGAAATAGCTTTGAAAATCTACATGTTAGTATATATCCTAAAGGTGGATAATTATAAAATTTGGGGGTAGAAAAACAACTGCAAGAACAACCTTAAAACCTGAAAACTTCAAAAGGTACTAATGAAACTTAGAAGTGGGCAGTTTTTTCTGAACGTACAGAGCAATATTCAACTAATGTTCTCCTCTCCAAGCCTACCTGATCCACATTGTTATGTGGTAAGTTCCATCAGGTTGGCCATAATTTCACCGGTACCTGACACAGTGCCTGCTAAATAATAGCCAAACAATACATTGATGGACTCAAGTAACAATGTTTACAATGGAAAACCCCAAATATTGGATCTTATCTCCCATTACAGCATAAAGTGCTCTTAAAGCTGCTAGCACTTTAATTTCTTCTCTCTACACTAACCTAACAGTAATTTAAAAGTAAAAATGATATCTTCTTGGCCAGGTAGCTCAGTCGGTTAGAGCATCATCCTGATACACCAAGTTTGTGGGTTTGATCCCTGGTCAGAGCACATACAAAAATCAAACAATGAATGCATAAATAAGTGAAATAACAAGTCGATGTTTCCTTCTCTCTCTCTCTTCCTGCCCTCTTCTTCCCAACTCTCTTTCTAAAGCCAATAAATAAAAATTAAATGAAAATTAAAAAGTAAAAATGCTGTTGTAACCATGGAGCACTCACTTTGGAATAAGTCACTGAACTTTGCACTTACAATTTATGCTTTCATGTGACATATTATAATTCAATTTAAAAAAGCTTTAAAAAAGTAAAATTCTAAATAAATTTAACACATCCATTTAAATCATACAGTAGATTTGGACACTCAAGGGTGTTATTCTAAATTTCTTCTAGGTATTCAACTTTCAATTACTACTCATTCCTACATGTTCTATCTTTTATAACGAGTATTGTTTTCATACTCAGTACAATTTCATTAATTTCATCTCAGCAGTATTACAAAACTGATAGCAAATCTAATCTCTATCGTGTATCTTCTATTTAGAATCTACGATTGATGAGAGGTAATGCCATATAAGCATAATGCCTTTTTCCCATTCCTTACTCTCCTGATGCCAGTCACTATTAAATCAGATCCACTGACTGTCAGGATAATGCTCTGCTCTGTTAAAAAATAAATATAGAATAAATAAGAAGCTTTTACCAGGAGATCCAGAGTTTTCATGTGGAACCATTCTGAATTTGTGCATTCCAAAGTCCTATGATTTTTTAATCCTTTTGTGTTAGTCCCTAGAAATGTTCTCCGAAAGAGAGGACCACTGAGAATTCTAAAAATCATCTCACTTCCACAAAGAATCATAAGGCTACATAATGGAGGTGGAGTCAACCAAAAGAGGGAAGTCATTAAAAGAGTGAGATTCCCTTTTACTCATGTTTTTTTTTAAATATGGGGCATCAAACAACCAAAAGAAATTGAGAAAAGTTCACCATAGATTTACACAAATGAAGTTAACTCATATATTGTTGTTGAGTTAAATATTCCAAATTTCTGCACTTAGTTTTACCATCAATTTTCAACCCTTTTCACATCATGGAACATGTAAACTATTAAAATTTTGCAGCACACCAAAAAAACATTATATTTTTTGATGACCTGACAAATAATAGGTATGATTTTGATTCATCCTCACTGGACTGCTATTATTGTGTTGGTTGTTACCATTGTTTTATTTGACAATCTAGGGAAAAAAGTCAGTGCCCCTTATTCTGGGGGCTTGGGGTGGCACCTTCAGAGAGGAGAAGTGAAACAAAGTTCGAGGAAGAGAAGAGAACCAGGCTGCCTCTTTCCAAGAGTGTTGTTATACCACCAGAACCATGGGAGAGAAGCTGTGCACACCCGTGAGTCCCAGGTCTCAATGTGGACTCCTTTTAATTTTACCACTATGGAGGTGTTAGGCATATACTTGAAGTCTATTATAGTTGTTTCAGTCTCTCACAGGAGAAAGAGCTGACAACATGCAAAGCAACTTGGGGGGGGGGGTGGAACCAGTATTCCTGACTAAATAACTGCAGTTATTAAGCATTAATACAGGCAGTCAGGTACTGCATGTTTTAAATTAAAAAATTCTTGTGATATGGTACATGGGTTGAAAATAACTGTTTTAGACCAATATATTAGAAACAAAAGTAGCCAGTTGTCATGTAGTTAAATTATATCAAAAGACTAAAGTAAAATGAGCAATATATTATTAAATAATGTCTTATCATTATACCTATTTTAATATGATTTCCCTAATTAAACGTGTTTAATGAATAGTTTTGTTTAGATTGTGTATAGTCGGCATTGTTTTTCCTTTTCTTCTTTTTCAAATTATATTTTATTGATTATGCTATTACAGTTGTTCTGGTTTTTCCCCCTTTGCCTCTTCTACCCAGCACCACCCATTCCCACAGGCAATCACCCCACCATTGTTCATGTTTGTTTCTGCATATTAGGTATGGCTGCTCTCACTCCCTATCTTAGTAGCATGGACTATTATAGAAAAGTGCACCTGCAAATTGTATCAGGCAGAGCCTTAGGTAACTGCCAGGGCAGGGCTACCCATGTCACTGCTCTGTGGCTCTGTGTGGAGGAGAGCTTGGAGAGGGGACAATGCTGCAGTATGGCCTCTGGAGTTATGCCCAGGAGGAAGATGCTTCCCAGCACTGGCCCTGATGCCAGTCACTTCGATTTCTTCCCATATGCCACTGGTGCCCTTCCAGTTGTTTCCTTGGTGCTGAATCCCAGAGGGATGAAGTCTGTGTAAGTCCTAAGTCTGTTGTGGGTTCTTTAAAAGGAGTCTCCTGAGAATCCTGCAGTTTGTTCCACTGCCCTAACTTCCACTGGTTTTTATAGCCAGAAGTTATGGGGACTTATCTTCCTGGAGCTGTAACACCATGCTGGCTGGTTTGGCATGTGCTGGGAGGTATCCCTCCCAATTATTACCCACCACACATGGATGTGGGACAGCCCATGCCATGTCTCTGCACCTCTCCACCTCTCTGTGCCTCACCAGGCCTTGCCACTCCACCTACCCCTCTGGGTGAAGGTGGCATCCTTAAATCCTCAGTTGTCAGACTTCCATACAGCTCTATTTTTGACAATTGTGGTTGATATTTGTTTCGTAGTCTAGTTGTAGGTTTTGCTGTGGTTGTGCACAGAGGCATGGCATGTCACGTGCATCTCTATCTTGACCAAAAGTCAAAAGTGGATTTTAGAGCAAGAAAAATTTCTAGGGATAAAGAAAATCATTTTATGAACAACGATTAAAATTTTTAAAGAAGAGAAAAAATCAATTTTATAATGTCAGATGGGTTCATTTATCAAGGGTACATACCAATCTTAAATATTTGTAAAATTAACATCAGAGCTTTAAAATCCATAGAGCAAACACTTATTCAACTGCAAGTAGAAATAGCAAATCTATAATTATAGTAGATTTAAATTATTCTCTCTCAATAATTGATAATACAAAGAAAATCAGTAAGAATACATTAAAACTGAAAAACACTATCAATTTAACCTGATCAACATTTACAGAACATTTATTCAATAACAACAGAACATATATTATTTTCAGGGGAATATAAAACATTTCCTAAGATAGATAATATTTTTGGACATATAAAAATTCTCAACAAATTTGAAAAATTTCAAATCATACAAGATATATTTTCTAATCATAATTCAATGAAGTTAAAAACATGTAACAAATATCTCTGGAATACCTCAAATATTCTGGAAATAAATAGCTCAATTTTAATAATCCAATGACCAAGGAAAACTCAGAAAGGAATTAGAATATACTTATGAATGAATGAATAAAAATTCAAATACAATATCAAGATATATGCATGTCACTAAAATAGTACAAAGGGAAATTGATAGCACCAAACACCTATATTAAAAAAGAAGAAAGTTCTTAAATAAATGTTATCATTTTTTGCCTTAGGAAACTAGAAAAAGGAGAAAAATTCAAATCAAAATAAACAGAAGATAGGAAATAATAAAGATCCAAACACAAATCAATGACATAAAGAACACAAAAATAAGAAAAATAAATGCAACCAAAACCTGTTTTTTTTGAAAATTCAAATCAAATGCATAAAACTAAAGCCAGACTAATCACATAAAAAAGACATAAATTGCCAATAGTAAGAATGGGTATCACTATAAAGTCTATAGAATTAAAAGGATAGCAAGAAAATATTAAAAACTCTTTGCCAATAAATTGACATTTTATATGAAATAGAAAAATTCCTTAAAAAACAACTACAATAACTATAAAAGCCCACTGGAAAAAAGTAATCTGAAGAAGTTATTGAAGATAACCTCTTAGATATTAGAAGAACCTTTTAGAAGTTTCAAGATACTGAACTTACTTAAAATCTTCCATCAACAAAAATTCCAAGCCCCTTGGTAAATTCTAATAAATACTTTTTAAAAATACTAATTCCAAACAAACATTACCAAGAAATAAAGAGTAGTGACTACTTTTTAACATGTTCTGTGAGACCAGCATATCTTGATATTAAAACCAGAAAAAGACATTACAAGGAAAGAAAATTACAGATGAATATCTCTCACAAATGTATGTGAAAACAATCTGGATAAATGTTAGCAAATGAAATGAAACAATATATAAAAAAATAATATATTATGATCAAGTAGGATTTATTTTAGGAATATAAGGTTAGTTGAACATTATATTAAAACCCTTAGACAGAAAAGATAATTCAGTCAGCTTGTTATAAAAAAAGCCTTTCACAAAATGTAATGTCAGTTCCCAATACAAAACTCTAAGTATTAGCCCTGCTTGGTGTAGTTCACTGGGTTGTGCTGGTTCCATGGACCAAAAAGTCACTGGTTCAACCAAAAGGGCACATGCCTGGGTTGCAAGCCAGGTCCCCAGTTTGGGGGCATACTAGAGCCAATTGATCAATGTTTCTCCCTTCTCTTTATTCCTCCCTTACCCCTCTCTAAAAGTAAATTAGCTATTCAATTTTTTAAAACTCTCAGCATTCTAGGCATATAAAGGGAATCTAAAAAACCTACAACTAATATCATAATGTTGAAAGACTGAATACTTCCTCTCTAAGATCAAGAGCAAGACAAAAATGTCCACTTTCACCATTTCCACTCAGTGCAGTCAGGGAAGAAAAATAAATCAAAGGCATCCATATTGAAAATAAAGACATATAACAGGCTTTATCTGCAATGACATGACTGTCTGTGTAGGATATATATAAAAAACTATTAAAACTAATAATAGAGTTTATCAAATTTGCAGGAAAAAATTAAGCGAGAAAATTAGAAATTTAAATTGAAAACAAATTCAATTTGTAATAGCATAAAAATCATACAGAATATTTAGGGATAAATTTGATAAAAAAATGTGAAAGTTCTAAATATTTCAAACTTCACAATGTTGCTGAGAAAAATTAAATGAGGCTTAAAATTGAAGAGATATACTGTATTATTGGAGTAGTAGACATTATTGTTAAGATGTCAGTTCTCTCCAAATTAACTCATGAATTCCATAAAATCAAAATTAATATCTCTGTTGACATTTCTGATAAACATTGGCAAATTGATTTTAAGATCTATTTGGAAATGCAAAAGGTATAGAAAGCAAAGCACATTGAAAACAATGAACAAATTGAAATGTGAACACTAACCTATTTCAAGGTATTTTATAAAGCTACCATAACAAAGACAGTACTGTGTTTTAAAAAACTTTACATATAAATTACAGGGTTATAGTATTATTTTATAAATCATAGAGCAAGTCCATGCCTTTTCCGTACTCAGTCTTCCACTGGCCTACCATAGAGAATATATGTTTTATTCCTGATTTGCCTAAATTATAGTCTCTTTGTAATGCTGAGCAAGCTCAAATTCAACTTTTCCCATTTTAAGGCTCTTGCAATCACTGAATAAACAGCCACATTAATTGTCCATTCTTTTGTTGCAGTTCATGGGGAATGGCCATCAAGACCTAATTATCCTTTGTGATAGAGTGCCAGGACTCCCTTGGCTTCAGATTCTTCAACTATTAGTTTTCAGCCTTTCTGGAAAGTTTTTCATCCCTCACATCTGATTTTTTTTTAATCCCCAGAGTCTTTGAGTCTTATATGCTCTTGGTCTTAATTAACTCAACATTATTCCTATTCTCAGATTACTTTCATTTAATATTCCAGCATTTTGAGTTTAAATTTAAGCTACACATTTGCAAACTCATTATTTATAACTAACGTATAAAATATGGATATTTTCATAATATGGAACATCATTGATTGCATGTGAATAGTTCGATGGAAGCAGTTTTTAACTAATGGTTTTTATTTCCTCATACTTTGATTTTTTTTGCCCAATTCTAGTAATTTTACTTCTGCTTTCTTCCTGCCTTATGACAGACAACCTTTGTCATTACCAGTTCCAGGAATTTGTTCCATATAATCTACTTATGCTTCCCTTACTACCTTGATTATCTCTCCAAATCGATGAATACTTCAAGACTGGGGATCCTGCCTCCCAACAGAGATTTATGAGTCAGAAGCAAGCTATCCTCTTTATACTGTTTTGCCACCAGCCAGACACTGAATATCTTTTTTTTGACTCCAACAATTGCTATGGCTAAGTTACATAATATCACAGCATTATGGTTCACAACTGACTTCCATTATTCCCTTGTTGAGCGTAAATTGTTTTTCTATACTAGGTAACATTATAAAGTCCCTTATACATTTATGATCCCCCTGAAAATTATCATTTGCTTTGCCTCTCATTTGCTCTTAAGCTAATCAAACGCAATCATAATCTTTGTACACAGCACTATTGCATGGATGTTGTGGATGGTGCCACATTTCT